TGTGTGTGTGTGTTTGTGTGTGTTGACAAGTACTATTTAAAATAAATATCAAAGTATTTAACAAACAAAGTCATTTCACTTAATTCAACACATTTTATTCAGCCTTTCGAAGGTCTACAGTAATTTGATAATGCATGTACAGAAACCAAAGCAGATAGCTAAGCTTGATGACGATTTACCGCTACCATGGAAACGACCAAGCGTCTCTATAGCAACGGCAGGATGGGAGTTTGTCGCACAAATCATGGTACGCGCCAGGTAGATTTGCAAAACGTCAACATTTATGTCTGCGTCCAGTCTCGGCATCAAAGCGAAGGGACCATATTGTCTTTGACCATTCTTTGTTGGAGTTCAGAATTAGTCGTTACGTGTTCTTGATGTTACATAGTACGGGACCAGACTTACTTCATTGTATTCTTTGCTTGTATAACTTGACGCGGTGTTGTTGTTACCAAAAACTTTGACACTTCGACTGGCTACACACAATCTTTGGACGTTCACACAAACTGCATTGACACACCACTTTCGTACGCGCAGGTTTTTCAGGATTTTCTCTTTATAAAAAAAAACTTAGGAAAATTTACACAAATCTTTCGTTTGCTTGTCATGGAGATTGGATTACTCGCTCAAGGAGCAAGCCTAGGTGTAGAAAAGAAAATGTTACTTCTTTTCGATAACATTTTGTTTTCCTGAGTGAAGCTGTAGCCTTCGATAAGTAATGTTCGCCTCCCATCTTTCATCCTAGTATAACAGTTAGATGATAGTTGTCGACTTATGAGTTAAATGAAATATTAGATAACGAAACAAAAATCAAAGGCTGCAATGGGATAAAAAGATAAACTTTTTATCGCAAAGTTTTTTTCCCCTACAAAAAAATCTTAAAGTCAAATTTGAGTATGCTCCCTCTCCCATACAGGTTTCTGTAAGATTAAAGTAACATACGCTTTTCAATTTTAAGACTTCAAGTAGGGTTGGAAATTGTAGCGAAGATGTTCATACCAACTTAATCTTTTTTGTTCTTTTTTTCGTTCTTTCAATGTCTTTTCAGCCACTCGTTCTTACTGTTGTTGTTATAAGTTTCAGTCGACTTATTGAGTTGTTGCTTCTTTTGACAAATGTCATGTTATTGTCAATGTCCTCGAGCGATAGGTCTAAATGCTCGCGAGTGGCCGATTTGTTCTTCTTCTGATGTTGTTGGATGTTGTTGGAGTGCGGGCGAGCGCTTTAGAAGCACTTGCGGTGCACGATGGAGGGGCCGGACTCATCGTACTCCTGCTTGGAGATCCACATCTGCTGGAAGGTGGAGAGAGAAGCCAGGATGGAGCCACCGATCCATACGGAGTATTTGCGCTCAGGGGGAGCGATGATCTTGATCTTCATGGTGCTGGGAGCCAGAGAGGTGATCTCCTTCTGCATGCGGTCAGCAATACCAGGGAACATGGTGGTGCCTCCGGACAGGACGGTGTTGGCGTACAGATCCTTACGGATGTCCACGTCGCACTTCATGATGGAGTTGTAGGTGGTCTCGTGGATACCAGCAGATTCCATACCCAAGAAGGATGGCTGGAAGAGAGACTCGGGGCACCTGAAGCGCTCGTTTCCGATGGTGATGACCTGTCCGTCGGGAAGCTCGTAGCTCTTTTCCAGGGAGGAGGAGGAGGCAGCGGTGGCCATCTCCTGCTCGAAGTCCAGGGCGACGTAGCACAGCTTCTCCTTGATGTCACGCACGATCTCTCTCTCGGCGGTGGTGGTGAAAGAGTAGCCACGCTCGGTCAGGATCTTCATCAGGTAGTCGGTCAAGTCACGGCCAGCCAAGTCCAGACGGAGGATGGCGTGGGGCAGAGCGTAACCCTCGTAGATGGGGACGGTGTGGGTGACACCATCGCCGGAGTCAAGCACGATACCTGGTGGAGGGGGACGGGTGGACAGACGGAGTTAGAGAAGTGTTTGGAAGGAAAGGGGAGAGGGAGTAAGAGAATGCGTGTTAGAAAGAGGAGGAGGAGGAGGAAGAGGAG